TATATATGTGTGTGTATGTATATATATATATATATATATATATATATATATATATATCTTATATTCTTAAAAGCTTCAGAGAGTATGACTTGTTGCTAAGGATGATGACCCTATTTTAATGCTTATAAAAAACTCACATAACACATACAAACAAACTGTGTCAAAAATATGTCATGTACAAGTAAAAATAACCAAGAAAAAAGTATATCATCCATGAACAAAGAGAATGTTAAGTCATATTGAAAGCATATGTAATGTAAGGCCACTGGTCTCAAAAAGGAGTTAGGTGGTAATCAAGAAAAAATTTTCTAATGATATATGAGATAACATAGCATTTTGCACTTCTATATATATTACAAAGTTTGTTTTGTTTACATCTCCAGAAACCTTGGAAAATAACTCCCCATTTTGGATAATTTTTGTACTTCCATTTTAGTATGATGTTCTAAAAGGTGAGGAGAAGGTAAAAATAAGGAATAAATCCCCTTAAGAACAATGTTGTTTTAAATATTAATAATATTAATTTAATTAATAAAATTGTCCTGAGTGTGATATAATGCAGATATAAAAGTTAGTTTCTTCCCCTTTTTGCCAATCATATAAATTTGTTTTGTGGTTATGATATCATGAGCATTTTCATAGGCTCTTTACTTTTCAAATTTGATGATGTATATCATTGAAACAAAATTCTAATTCTCTAAATACAAAGCAGTAAAATCCCATGTTTAGATTTCATGGATTAATAGTAGATAGTATAACATTTGGATGTAATTTTTAAAAACTTACAAAGTAACTCTTGGTTTCTACATAAGGATGAGTCATTAAAACACAGCTTTGGTGAACCTATTAATTTACAAAAATAATCCAAAATAACTAGAGTAGACCTTGGTACTGAATTCCTCCTCTCTGAATCAGAACATAGCTTTACAAGTTCCTCAGTAAAATGATAATTAAATGATACACTTTAAATTATTTAGGACAATATGACAATATAACAACTAAAATTTTTACTTTAAAAGTTTATCTTACCTACCATTAGTATGTTAATTTTCCATTGCCTTATTCAAACTTTTGGGATCACTCACAAAGACACATAACTATCCACTCTTTTTTACCTTAATGCTAGTTAATGTTTTTAACTTATAATATTAGAATCAGGACTAATTTGGAATGTGTGCTATAACTCAAATTTGCTTGAAACCTCCAGTTTGTAACCTACTCTTCTTTTCAATTCATGTCTATTTATTGTTCTAGTTTTGCAGAGTCAATTTACATATACAATAATAATCTTGGTAAATGTGCAGCACATATGTACGTATATATTCTCTTTCTGATTAATTTCAAATAATAAATAGTGTTTATATCTTATTAATTCAGTAAGGTTACTCAAACCTTTATTCTTCCTGTGATGAAAAGATAATGCTAAAGAAACAGTAAAAAAACACAGTTTTATTTTCTTTTTAAAAATAAACTGAGCAAAAGATTTTGCAAATATCCTAGTGTTTTAAGGAGAAATCTTAATTTTGGATTGCTGACTTGAATAATTATCATTTCAGATTTGTTCTTGCCTCAAGACTTCAGTCTGATTGGATGTTGATGCTATATTTTGCACATACTCATTTGACTGTGACAGTCACCATCGGGTTGCTTTTGATTCCAAAGGTATTCTTCTAACATTTTATTTTTCTTGCAAGACAACTATTTTAAAAAAGCATGGAGTTGTTTCTTCTTTTAAAAATATCTCACAACACAGACAAAGGGAAGCATGGAAATTTGCTGGGTACTGTAAAAATAGTTTTTTTTAAAACTCCTTTAGAAACTGGGTATGTTTTCATTTTAGATTCATAAAACATCTTAAATAATTTTAAATGCCTTAATTTATACCAAAATTTATCATCCCTTTCCAAATATTTTTATTTCTACTATTGTTTTAATTATTATGGTTAAATGGCTTTCATTGTAGCTATAACATCAAGATCATATTTTTAAATAACTATTCTAAGAATCCTTCCTCTTTAGATTCATATTCAGAGAAGTATTGTGTTTAAAACATTCAGATATTTTGTTTAAATGGAAATAAATATAAAATTATGTATAGAAGAATCTCAATAATGATAGATTCTGAAAAATCTTATCCAGGTAGCATAATGAGGTGGGGGGAAAAAAATGGGCCAGAACTCTGACAACAGGAATTCTGAACTTACGCTACACCATAAACTAGCTATGTGTAATAATGCTAGTCAAGATCTCTTTTATTTACTTTTGATCTCTTTGTTTCAGTTTCCATATCTATGACATGATAGCAGTAAAGCTACTTGGAATAAAATAAAATATTGGAGTTTCGTGAGAAGATATATTATAAAAATTAGAGAAATACCATTATTTTTCTCTTTTATGCACATAGAAACACAATAATAGAACATTATATGTTTTCTCAGTACTGTACAATATAACATTAGCACAGCTAAAACCAGAGTTGTGGTTTGTCTTTCATTGTAGACTTTATATCAGTTCTCACAATTAACTAAAATGTTACATTTAGCCACATTGCAAAGGCCAGTTATAAACAGAACAAAATACCTATTTTATTCCCTACTTGACTTACATTAACTAGACACAGTTTCATGTATTAGTTTGCTACTATAATTTATCTTAATGTTATTGTTAAATTAGCATTTCAATACTTTGCATATCATTATATATCTGTTAGATGGATGGATATTCAGAGTATTCATTCAATAAATAGTTATTGAACTTGAAAGAGAATTGAAAACATATGTTCATACAAGAACCTTGCATATGAATGTTTATAGCAGCATTATTCATAACCCTAAAAATAGAAACAACCCAAATTTCCATCAACTGATAAATGTATAAGTAAAATATGGTATATCCATACAATGGAATATTATTTATCAATAAAAAGAAATGAAATGAAATACTGACACATGCTACAACTTTGACAAACCTTAAAAACATTATGGCAGATTAATAAGCCAGACTCAGAAAGCCACCTATAATATGATCCCATTTATGTTAAGTGTCCAGAAGAGGAAAATCTGTAGAGACAGGAAGTAGACCAGAGGTGGCCATAGCAGGGAGAAGGGGGAATAGAGTGATAACTTAATGAGTTTAAGGCTTCTTTGGGGAGTGTTGAAAATATTCTGGGATTAAATAGTGATTGATGATGGTTGTACAACCTGTGAATACACTAACAATTATATACTTTTAAATTGTAAACTTTAATATGTGAATTATATATCAATAAAAAGACAAATTTAATATATTGAGGGGCTTTGGTAGGCACTGTTCTATATCCTTATAATAAGAATAATGAACAGATAAAAGTCTGTGTTCTCATGGAATTTATATTCAGGAGGCAGAATTGGGGGACAGACAAGATTAACAAACAAGACAAATGGATAAAGTCCTAAGGAAAAAATTACATAGCAGGAAGTGCATATATTTGACAAACAACTATTTTTTGGTGGGGGGAGGTGCTGGGGCCTAGCACATTCTAAGCATATTCCTCTACCACTGATTTACATCCCTAACCTCTGTAACCCTTGGTGCTGTTTCTTGAACTCATGACTGTCTCCAAGGTTTTGCTCAAGAAAAAACAGTCCCATTCTTATAAACCGTCTCCAGCTGGTTTAGATAGTATCCCATGAGACTTTGGATGCCATCATATTCATCATTTATAGCCCAAGTTCATCATGCCTGTGAGTCTCACAAAGGTAGACAGAAGAGGGAAGGAAAGTCTCCATTTCTGAGTCAGTTCCAGTTACAAAACATGAATTATGACTTAAGCCAAGAATTGCTGTTTCACATGTATTTCAGATACATTTTCACCATGCTAGTTGACACTAAGGTATCTCTATATCCCCAATGTTAGTTTTTGGAAAGAATATTTGAACCAATAATAAGCTAGAAGAGAATCCATGTTCTCTGAGCTATTATTTTATTTTCAGCAAATAGTTTTTACATAACTGTTCCTTATTTTACATATTCTTTATGTGTGGCTACATTGCTTTGATTATTCTTTCTGCTTTCCATCCTTTACCCTACTCATTCTTCCTGATTTTTGCACTTAGAAACAAGTACATATGAAAATAATTAAAATACAAAGAAGGAGGCACTTGAGAATAATAGTGAGCTTGAGGAAAAATGTGTTAATTTCAGTGAATATTTGCATTTATACTTAGATACCATTCACTCCAGAACTCTTTAGGCCAAGAGGATACTGTGCTCCAAAGTGATCTCATGTCTTCTTCTAGATTTCATTGATGACAGAATTGAAACTGGAGTCAGATATCCTGTTTATTTTGAAAGTAACTTTTTTGAGCCTATGTGTAGAATACTGAAAGTTACATCCCTGTTACTAGTAGGTTTTTATGGCCATAGATGAAATAAATCCTCACCTAAGTGAAGCAAAATGACAAACACAGGAGACTTCACTGCTCAAAAAAAAAAAAAAAAAAATCCCAACAATCCAACCAAAAAACCCTCCATCCACCTGCTAGTGAATCTACATTTCTCCTCTTAGGCAACATTTCTTTGGATTCTTCTACTTATTTATATTTTCAAAAAGGCAAGTGGAATAAGTTAATACTGGAAGCCTAGGAAATAAACAAGGGTGGAACTTGGAGTCAAGAGAGGGAGCCAAATGCTAATATTGCCTCACTGAGAGCACCAGCATATAACATGGAAAGCAAAACAAAATATAGCGGCAAATCATTGGAAAGTGTTTAGTGAATGAATTTATCAAACTGAAGAAACGCTGTTCATAATAGCACCTTTAGACTATTATTGTGCTATGTCTACAGTGGGTTAATGCCTACAGTTCATATTGAATATCTATTACAGTTTTCACATTCAAGCAATAATCCACGCGATGATATTGCTACAGAAGCATATGAAGATGAGCTAGACATGGGCCGATCTGGATCCTACCTGAACAGCAGTATCAATTCAGCCTGGAGTGAGCACAGCTTGGATCCAGAGGACATTCGGGTAATGCTGGCCTATCTTCTTTCCTGTTTCAGAGTAGGCCCAGTTAATCCCATTGATACAGGCAAATGTGTGTGGATTGGTGTGTGCATGTACATGTGTGCCTGTGCTCATGTTGGTGTACACAGCATTAGAGAGAAAGAATGCATATATGTGAACTGAAGACATCAAATGCAGAGGTAATTCAGAGATAACATGTATAATTGGAAAGTATATGCTATTTCAACTCTTACAGTAGCCTGGGAAAATTTTATATTTTTGACGTGACTTATAGGCAGTCATGATGAAGAACTGATTATCCATGTTCTAAAATATTAGTTTGTAACAACCTGCTAATGGAAAAGTAGGATATACCTGTGACCAGAGAAACTGAACTGGATTATTTAAAATGATACGTGATAACATATCAGCATCTGAAGGAAGAAGGTGCCCTTTAGCAGTCTATGAACTGTTGACCCTTAAAGCTAATCTAGCATCACGTAGAACTTCATCAAATGGCAATATGGTGCTTCCAACATTATTCTGGAGTATGGCTCATCAGTAGTAGATAGTATGTTGTATTTTCTTATGGTCCTGGTTCAGCTTTGTCCACACAAATTGAAAGTTCTAAATCCTTGCTCTGTGAAGGAAGGGTAGAATTCATGAGTTCATGTCTTAAAGTTCAAATTTTATGTAAAACAAAACGCAAAATAATTAGAAGGTAGAAATGAGGACAAAATTGATAAGCACAGATGTTAACAAAAGTTGTAGAGCAATTTCCCTAAAGAACTTAAGCTTATTGACTTCTAATACCATTCAGTGAAATTGGCAAAAACACTCCATTGAATACCTTTTTGAATTTGCTCTTGTTTTGGCAGGATGAGCTAAAGAAACTGTATGCCCAGTTAGAAATATATAAAAGGAAGAAGATGATTACAAATAATCCCCACCTCCAGAAAAAGCGGTGCTCGAAGAAGGGCTTAGGCCGTTCCATCATGAGGCGCATCACTGAGATTCCAGAGACTGTCAGCAGACAGTGTTCCAAAGAAGACAAGGACATGGCAGACCACAGCATGGCCAAAAGTACAGCCCTCGTCAGGAAGAACCCACCAGAGCCTTCAGGTAATACAGGGAAACCCAAGGAGGAGTCCCTGAAAAACAGAGTCTTCTCAATCAAGAAATCCCACAGCACTTATGACCATGTCAGAGACCAACCGGAAGAGTCCAATAGCCTACCAACAGAAAACCAAGAAGAGGAGGCTACAGAAAATTCCACACTGGAATCTCTCTCAAGTAAAAAACTAACACAAAAACTGAAAGAAGACAGTGAGGCTGAGTCTACAGAGTCAGTGCCTTTGGTGTGTAAGTCAGCAAGTGCTCACAACCTCAGCTCAGAGAAGAAGCCTGGGCACCCACGAACATCTATGTTACAAAAGTCTCTTAGTGTCATAGCAAGTGCCAAGGAGAAGACTCTTGGATTAGCTGGGAAAACCCAAACATCAAGTGTAGAAGAACGTACTAAATCTCAGAAACCTCTGCCAAAAGATAAAGAGACAAACAGGAAGTGCTCAAATTCAGATAACATGGAGACTAAAGATCCTGTCCCCCCAAACTCCAATCATCTGGAGGAACCGAGAAAGCCTCAGAAATCTGGGATTATGAAACAACAAAGGGTTAATCCCACTACTGCCAGTTCTGACCTGAGCCCAGGCACCACCCAGATGAAGGGCAACTTTGACATTGGGGAAGTGTGCCCATGGGAGATTTATGACCTGACCTCTGGTCCTGTGCCTTCAGAAACAAAAGCTCAAAAACACGTGTCTATCGCGGCTTCTGAAATGGAAAAAAATCCAACATTTTCCTTGAAGGAGAAAGCCCACCACAAGCCTAAGGCAGCTGAAGGCTGTCAGCAATCCAGTCAGAAGAGCATAGATAAGGCCGAGGTGTGCCCTTGGGAAATCCAAGATCAGTCTTTTTTTGAAGATGAAAAACATTTGATTTCCAAGACTACAGTTCTCCCAGGGAGAGCCAAAGATGAGAATGGAGGTCAGCACCGTGCAGCCACTGTGCGTGCTGGGCAATACGAGGAACTGCCCCCCAAAGTCATGGCTTCAAAAATAGAGAATGAAAATCTCAACCAAATGCGAGACCAGGAAAAGAAATCTTTCTCTGTGGAAAATGCACCTGGTTCCTGTAACTCAAGTAAAAACTCCCAACAACCGTTAACATCACGAGCTGAGGTGTGTCCTTGGGAGTTTGAGGCCCCCAGTCAACTAAATACTGAAAGAAGTGTAACTTTACCAGCCTCTTCTGCTTTGAGTGCAAATAAGATAGCTGGGCCTCGAAAATAATGAGGTAGTATCCCCAGGAAGAAAAGAAAGAAGAAAATCCCAATGTGATATAAGACAGAAGATCTAAGAATCAAAAATTCCCAGAGTATTTTGTCAGTCAAGGGAAATATGACAGATAGTGAGGGGAGGTGAAAGGCAAGGGCTGAAGATGACTAGGACAGGTCCAGAATGTCACAATGCAGAAGTCAGCCTTCAGCAGAAGAGAGTCCTCCCCTGGTAAACTAAGAAAATTTTTCATTTCAGCACATTTAAGGGAATGCCCTCAACATCTACCCCAATCCATCTTTCCTCATGGGACTTTGAAGATCCTAAGCAAGATGAGCAAGGAGACAGAAGATGTATGATTTTGGCAAAGAGGAAAAAGTTTTAGATAGATATATATGTCAAATTCTAAGTAGCTGACTGAAATGACCTTACTTTACCTATTTAACCTTGATAGCACTGCTAACTTAATGCATCCCAAAAATACCTTTTATATTAATGATTGCTCTCATTTTATTAAAATGTATGTTTCAGTACATTGTTGTGTCTCATATTCAAGCATTCCAGATTGTATAATTTTTGCAAATAACTTTGATATTATGTGACACAACACATTTATGCAATCTGCAGCTACTCGATTGTTATTGCAACTTACAGAATACCTGCTATCAACTTTAGTTGATTCTTGAAGTACAGTAAGCTTTCTCTGGCTTAAGAAGCCATAACAGTTATGATAAAAACCTTTAGTTTGGGCTGTGGTTTATATATTGTGAATTTGGATTTGACTCTATTATTTCACATCATGGTTTGTTATACAGTCTTAATCAGGGTTTTTTATACAAGTTGAGTTACTTATTTTGCACTTGTTAGGACTTAGAAGGTTTATTATTATTGGAGATCAAGTGGTCCTACTTAGTCATGTCTCAATAAGTTAAGGACAACTTATCCATTGTTTGTTCAAAGTCAGAGTCATTCCAATTACTTGTCCCTTTTACTCTTTCAGTATTTCATACTTAGCAACATTTCCTAAGGAAGAAGCTAAGAGTGAGAAAAATATACTGTGCATTATTATTACCACTGGAAAGGGAAGACTCTAGGAATGATGAGAATTATAGCATTAATACACATAGATCCAGGAAATTTGCCTTCAAAGTGAAGACAGAACGATAGCTCCTAATAGCACTTTCAAGGGATTATTTTTTTAAAGAGAAAAATTAATGATAGCATCAATATCATTAAATGGATATATTTTATTATGCATACTGAAAATATATTTTAAATTACCTTAAACTATTTATTCTCATAAAATTTTATTCATTGCTTCAACTAGGGATAGAACTTGCTGGGCTCAAATCCCAAAGAGGGTTTATAACCTGATTTATTCAAAGATCATAAGGTGGTATGGATTCTTCATTCTAGAAACCTTCAAGTCCTGCAAATTGCCCTTGCAAGCCACCTTACTCAAAATGAAAAGCCTAATATTATTTGCAAGGCAAAACAGCCTGCAAAGCATATCTTACAAAACTTACTGCATTCCACACTGATCTCTTCGCATGAAAATCCTAAGCTGCTGACTTCACCCTACTGATGTGATCATGCAGTGAGATTCCAAAGCTCAGTCTCATTTTATTTAAAGGTGAATCACTTAAAAATAGAGCCCAGACTTTGCTTTCTCTCACTCTAAACACTGAAGTATCAATTGCTTATTTGGCCAGGATATTTCCAACCTAAATAACTGCTTTCCATATCATAAGCAGCAAGGGAAACATGCTAGGAGGTTAAAAGATAGGAAAAAAGAGTCAGAAGGTGGATTTAAGGCTTTTTCTTAGAGAATTTTATCTGCAGCAGAAGGTAAAAACAGAATTCTCTGTGTCCACCATCAACATTTTCTCAGTGATTTCATTCAAGAGTATGCGAGCATGTGGCCCTTTTACAAAGCTGTGTGTGAATCTCCCTCACCCATTTGCTTGCTTTGTGCAATACTCAGGTTGGTGGGGTAGGTACCAAGAGCTATAGAAATTCTATTTTAAAGTGTTGCCTTCATTTCTTTCTTTCATCCCTTCCTTTTTAGTCACCCAATCTTCCTACCTTTTTGAAGTTCCTAGAATACTACTTTAAGGTTTATTTGTGAACTTGTTTTTGAGTTTCTAGACCCACATACATATTTCACTTACGTCTGAGATTTCTTAGCATTTGATTCATTTTTGAGAATTAAGCAGTGACTTTTATTGCACTTCAGGATGATCCTGCTAGACACACGGCTTAATGAAAACTTGCCAAATTATACCTTAGTGACATTCTACAGACCATAGATTATTCTCTACCAGCATAGAATGGTGAAAATGCCTAGGGTCTTTCCTAGAGTTTCATTGCCATTATTAATCACCAAGAGAAGTTGAAATTTACAATTCTGGAGGATATTTTCCCAGGCTGATTACAATAAGAAAGTGAATAAACACTATTAGAGTCTCACAAACATTTGTTAGGTTGTCCTTCTCAATGCATGTGCAGGCTGCATCCTGTCCTTGTTTTATGCCAGGGTTTATAAATAAGTAGATTTATATAAATCTTAATAGAACTGTATATTTTATGCAAGAATTAAATGCTTTACGACATGAATTATAACCCATTGTAAACTTTGGTGGCAATATGGATTTGACACTCGACAGTTCTCTTGTATTTGCTTCCTAGGTTTCTGCATGCAAGTGATGACAGGTAGGACTGAAAAAACACTGCCTTTGACTTCTAGCATTTAGCAACTGAGAGTTGTAGCGTCAACAAAGCTGTAAGTCTCTTCACTTAATCTGTGGTTCTTCTGAAGCTATTATCTGAAACCTACAGCATCCCACCATGAGATATTTGGTAAATTTATGTCGTGATGTGTTGCAGCATGTAAATAATTATAACTTCTCTGCAATAAAACATATTTATATGAAAGTGATTTTTGGTGATTTGTGTGTTCATCCGTCAGGAAGTAAATTTATTTTACCCAACTCACTTTAGAAAGAATTCCACATAGATCTTTGGTTTGGGTACTCTGAGGCACATATTGCCTTATCTTGCCTATCTAGAGAAACAAGTGATTAGCCAAATGTGGTCTCAAACATACAGGTAATCATTTGGCACCATTAAAACCCATTAGGACTAGTGGTATTGATTTAAGAAAGTTCTGCCCAAATAGGAACTAATTCAGCTGACTTTTTGTTGTTGGTGGTGGTGGTGGCTTATTCTGCAAACATAGCAGGCATTCTGTTAAGCAGTGATGATACAAAGAAAAATGAGACCTCCAAGAACATTCAGACCCATAAAAGTACCCAGTGCCTGGTAGGATAATACACAGATGAGCATAAGTAAGTCAAAGAGTTAGGGAGTTCATGTTCACTGGGATTAAATTCTGCAAAGGCATCAGGTATGAAGGGGAGCACATAAGGCTAAAGATGACTGTACCCAGCCTTGCTTGCCAGGCTTCAGTTAACTGAAACTTCATGCCATCATACTGGCTGCTATCAAAAAGCTTTCAACAGAGGCATAATCAAGTTGTGTATTAGAAGGATCATTTTGGGAGCATCCCAGAAATGTATTGAAATGGAAAGACACTAGAAGTAACTCGGCCAGTTGGAATACTAGCATACAGTCACAGTAAGGAAGCCTAAGGGCGAGAGGGAAAGATTGCTGTTTACTTCATCAAAATCACATCTTCTAATGAGTTTACTATTTTGTGATACTCTTGTGATGTGAGGAAAATCAGAATACTTAGATAATTAATGACAACTATCATATTTGTTGACATTTTGGCTTATTTCAAAAATTAAAAACCCTCTCTGAAGACATACCTCATCCCATCTGCTTATGAGAAATGTGTAGAATAGGAGCCCAGGTTCATGCTAGGAAAAGCCTTGAAACTAAACTGGGCTGGGAAAGGAAAGAGCCACAAGGGTGTGTTGCAGTATGGACTTCAGTGCCTATCTGGAAATGGTAATTTTCCAAAGCATCTCCAGAAAGAGAAACAGGAATGAAAAGAGGGAGGAGGAGGGAGCTGCCTTCCCTACCTAATCCCTGCACCCGTTTCCTTAAATGAAGCATAGCCATTGCTGTTTCCCATCTGTTTATATTGCGTGCACCCGATGAATAGAACTCTTGTAGAATCTGTGGCTACAGCTCTTTGAGCACCCTGAAAGGGCTAACACAAAATTATTTGGGGATTAACAAAGCATGAAAGTTAAGTCTGCTGTAGGTTCTCCTGTGAGGAGGAAGATACAGGCTTTTCAGTTACTGGTCGAATTGTTCAGTTGATGTCTGTATTTTTCATACATATTCATAGTGCTAGTCATTGTCTTGGTTCTAAATTTAGAACCTTTTTGTTAAAAAATGCCTAAGAGAAATAAATCTAACAGAAATTTACTTTATCATACAAAAATTAATAATGTAAACCTACTGTTCAAAACAATGCAAAGTTAAGATTTTCTTTATTTCAGCATATTCCATTCTTTTTCTCTAAATAGTTATGAAGACAAAAATAATATTTGTTCAATTTGGGCTATTTTCTCTTCAAACATTTGTTTCTAGGAAAGCATAAGGGCCAAGTTCAAGCAATTTGAATGTTCTAATTTAGTGTTAACTGGTTAGAAGTCAGATAATGAAATGTAAGAATTGGTTTATATTTTTGCTCTCTATTCTTGTGCTGTAAAAATAATAGATTGCCAGAAACAAACTGTCTGATTAAATAGAAATGGAAAATGAGATATAAAAATGGGAAAGATCTAATGCTACGCAGTAGTCATTTTCCTAGAAAGAAAAATAAATTAAGCACAAATAAAAGGTTCATGCGAGTTCTCACAGAACATACTCCTATTTTAATTCAATCAGCAACAGGAAGGGGGGTGATGCCCTCTTTTATGCATACAAGAAGAAGATTATACAGCTTTCTCCAGACAGTCCCAGGGATTTCATCCTTCCATGCCTTTTGTATTTGCTCTTTGGTTCACTTGAAACTCTCCCCTCCTCTCCCTATCAGCATC